CTGACGATATTCCGTAATTCCACAGCTTAGACTATCCTGCCACCCTCAAATCATTCTGAATTCTCACTCCACCCTGTAGCCATAGTGGAGTGTATGTAGGTCAGTCAAAATAATGGTATCAGAGAATCAATATGATACACCGCGAGAGTTTTCATCACTTATTAATTTAGCGATATCAATTAAATACGCATTTAACACTTTTAATAGTTTCACACGAACATTAGCTTCATTGCATGATAATCTAGTGCTACGTGCATCATCATGATTGACCTTGCCACCTCGGCTGAACAATGCCCGGCTGACCGACCACCAGATGCACGTTTACGAATTAGTACGTCGACCAGGGTTGCACGCTTGCGCAGGAATGCACCCTCAGTAGGTCGAGTCCACGTACCCCGGAGCTAAAGTGGAGGGGGTGGTGGTTGACTAGGTCAGGATGCCAGGAATGCTAGCGACCGTGTTTACGGAAGTGAAAGAGGATTGACAAAAAGAGCCTTACCTTTCTCTGCGCCTCCGCGGCAAATCCGGACTTTGCAGCTCTATTACAGGCCATTTTCGCTTCGGGTTTGTAACGAGGTACGGGCCCGCGCGCGCGTTTACAGTGGATAGCAAAAATTCGTGGTGTCGATCAGCTGTGCAAGAACAACGTTCACACTTCGGCGGTCGCGACTCGACTGGAGGGAACCGGCGATCAGACGGCGACAACACGCTCCGGCGAAGTTTGTGCGACGCGCCCATTGGCCGCCCGCACCGAGTATCGAGCTTTCGTCTGGCGGCGCGACACACGACCTCCGTTCTCCAAGTTGCCCCGGAGATGACGTCAGACGATGAACGGATTCCTGGAAGAAGAGATAAGATTTTTGCAGCGACGTTTTCATAAATTCGCAGGATGAAATGATGAATCCACGGATCTGCTTATTCATGCACTTTCTAACTCGACGTTTTGCTTTTTTCTTTCACCGAAGCATGAACGTATTCCTGTTTTATTTTAAGGAATAAAATACAAATAAAACTGCTAGATTTTTAAAGATAATAAAATATCACCTGTTTAAAAAAATACTACAAATTTTATTTGATATAACATTTTGTATTTATTTTCTTTTATTTTTGGCGATTAGTTTAGATTATACGTTTTGAATAAATCCATCTACTTTTATGTTTCTTTCTATATTTATATAAACATACAAGACTATAAAATATTTAATTGAAAAGTAAATTGATACTACCGTTCTTAAATATTTTGCTTGTACTAGAAAATATTATATACTAAATTAACGTATGAGTAAATATTTTAGACAAAAAAAAGATAATAAATAATGTAAAGCAGAAATTGTAGTCTCTTACCGCTAACAGAAAATTTAAATATTTCTTTCCTGTTCTTTCTTCTTTAATTAAGTCAAAGATGAGCCAGAGAGTCGTTAAGCTTGGAATTTTAAGAACTAGTCTGACATCATCTGGAAATTCAAAACCACCTTTTTATTCAGTTTTAAAGATTATATTTTTGACCTACATTCCAGAAATATTATAGAACAATTTAAGTAATATAAAACAAAAAGTTTCTTTCATAAAAGAATGTTCAAATGGCTGTTATTTTTCCCATGTTTTTTCTTGGAGTAAATATATATTTTAGATTAAAATTTCAGCTTTTGAAACTATTTTTAATCTTCACATTTCTCTATGCAGTTTTATTATAAGATATAGAATTAAAATTATGAGACTTGGTTGTTGTAAGTGGTTTTTGCTTGAATTTTGGAGGCCACGATTGCGCCTGCAGTATTGGAGTTCCTTGCACGCATCTCCTTCAGCTGCAATCGCCGAAGAACGAACGACCTTCTCCGAGGCCTCGTGCAGCCTTCCTACATGGAGCAAAAAAAATGTTAGGTCATGGAACCTGCGATGGATATAGGCTATATAGGTTTCTCCGTATGCCTTCAGCCGGCTGGTCCTTATTGTCGAGCCGCTCCACGATGGCACGACCAAAACTCGTTTTGGAATGAAAGTGGTATCACGCTGGTATAATACGATAAAAAAATAAATGGGTATATAAGTTTAAAAAATTAGTGCACATCAGATTCGTGAAATAAAATTTGAGCATGTGTAAAAAATAACTTCCGCATTGAGTAATAATTTATATAATTATAGAAAAGATATTAAAAGCTGCTTTTAAATCAAAGAAAAATATTTTGAAGAATTTATTATGTGGAAAGATAATGTTGAAAATATTGGAATTATTTTCAGATATTTACATTAATTATAAGCATTGCATAATTATAATAGCATTGCATAATTATAATAGCATTGCATTAATTCAGACTTTAAAATTGAATTTTTTGAATAAATCTGAAATTATCTTGTAGCTCAGATCTCTGATAAGTTCGGTAATGCATAGAAACTTAACATGTTATCACTTTCATTTGTCCTCAAAGGTATATGCTACATTCGCTAGATTCCTGCATACTCTTTACGATCTGTGTCTCTAGTCTATTTGCATTTCTACCAGTTTCTAAGGACGTTCAGTGCTTCGTGAGAAAAGCAGTGCCATTTCGAAAGGAATGCTAGAAATTCACTTAATAATAACTTCCTCTTGTGCATATACAGTAAAGCCAACCAGAGAAAACTGGGTTTACTTTCCGATATTATATCTTTGCATTTTTTACTCGATTTAAATGTGGTTTGCGCACGATACAAAGAAAATACTGGAAGATGTAAGTTTCATTTTAAGCATATAGATTTAAATAAATTTTTTAATATTTATTATAAATATTACGTAATTTGATGAAATTTATAGATGTTATTTTGAAGATTTTCAATCAATAAAATTATTTAAGAATTGTAAACAGATGTCACATATTACTTTCGACATAACGTCACGTACAAGCATAATGTTATCATATTACAGTTAAAATATCGATGAACATAATTATTACATGTTTAGGCATTTGGCTCCATACTGGATAAACGTGTGCCATATTCGATTACGATCGGCCTTCGCAGCATGCACTAAATTTCTGTTTACGCACAATGATACACATGTCACGTATTGATGATTCAATCATCTGTATTGGAAACTCAAAAGATACATGTGCATGTTTCAAGATACAGCTTCAGCAGAGCATAAATTCTGTTTTCGTTACTGAAACACAATATTCCTTGTGTGTTTTTTTGCGAACTCATAAAAATTATTGTTAAATATATTTATTATATTTCTCTTCCTTGTTAGCGTATTAATTCACAATAACAGAACAACCGTAAAAATATGAATAACAAAAAATGTCTATTAATAAAAAGACATAAAAATTTGTAATTATAATTTCGCTATCATGAATCCGTACGCAGAAAATATCCATAGATAATTTTGCAGTAATTTTATTTCTTGAAATTGTAATATAAAGCATAAAAAATAATGCAAAGACATATATTTTTTTTTGGTATTCATAAAATGCAAATTTAGCAATTCTAGCGCATCACACAACTGTATGAGACAATGTATTATGTATGTATTATACAATATAGTAATATGATGAATCAAGGTAGTAGCAATACGCGTTAGCAAGTAATAAGAATATTGAGAGTTTGAGAGTATTTCTGACAATCATACAAACAGCACCTATATACACACATACCGCGCGTGTACTCATGCGATTCACAAAGCAAAGAAGTGTTAAGGGCAAAGGCCTGAGTTGCTCTTTTAAGGAATTTCGGTCGAAACTACATTGCAAATACAGCCGAATTTTTGAATGAATATATATCATGACGATATATCTTTTGTAGTGTATGAATTTGTGTAAAATAATAAAATTATAAATTTATCAAAATAATCTTTTAGA